CTACCTTAGAATGTGATCATCACATTAACTCTAGTAATGATCTATCACCATACAAACTTAACATGATGTTATTGACCACATCATATTTAAATGCTTACTAGATTAGAAAACTTGTGCTAGAAATTTTAGGAGACACAGAAAAGTCATAAACTGCATTTGCATGTATTTGTTAACAACCTAATAAAATAGAAGATGAATGTATCTTAATTTGTAGTGAAAAAACAGCCTAAGAATGCTTTGAAACTCTTCATGCTACATACACGGAGAGAGGGACCTGAATTATTCGAGTACTGGTTTAGCTTCTCTAACAAAGATGGCCAAAAATAAAGTGCCTCTAATCAGAAAACCTTATTTCTTTGAATAATTCACAGTCCAGCAGAGTGCATGGCTGGTGGGGCAGCTCTGTTATCCTCAATATGGAGCTTCTAGTAGATCTTTAGTTATCACCATTTCCTAAAAGACAGAAAAGGAAAAGAGAGTCCAGGGTTCATATCCTTAAGGATAATTCTCAGAAGTTATATATATATCACTCTGCTCAAATTTCAGTGGCTCAAATTCAGTTGCTTACAAGATGGGAAGCACTGTTTTATTCACTGGGCAGCAATGTTCCCTGTAAAACTCAGGCAAGACATTGAACACTGGGGGAGAGTAACACTGTTTACCATAACTGTCTTCCATGAAAGGATCATAAAAACTACAACTAGTTTCTAGTATTGTGTTGGAATGAAGGGTAGGTATAGGATTTGATTAGCATTGGGGTAGAGGATAGGGATTGACAGGCTGCAGGACATTTGAACAAAGAAATGGATAAAAATCAATATAGTTTATCTTTATTTTTAGGGGGGCACGGCCAGTAGACCTGCAGGTAAAATAAAAATTAGTGGGACATAATTCTGTAATAATATATATGGAGGATCCTGAATTTCCTGCTTAAAAGTATATGTATTTGTATATAGACTGTGGTCATGATTAAAGATTTGGTCGTGATTAAAGATTTGCCTTTAAAAATTATGGAAATATGGGAATTATTCTACATGAAAAATGTACTGGGAAGCAATAGATAGAACTTATAAATTTGGAATTAAAAAAGTGGAAAACCCAGACAGGAGACTGTTGCCACAGGGTATGACAGCCTGAACTATCGTTAGTACCAATAGAAATAAACGTGGTAGGAGCAGGGCAAGAAGTGGAAGAGCCATTCTGGAGGTAGACTGATACAACCTGACAAGGGTTTGGAGGTTGCAGCTGTGGGGAAAAGGAATACAAAAAACTGAATTTGACTTTGAAGTGTAGTCTAAATGAACTGAGGGATGGTGGCAGAACCAAGGCCATTATTAATTTAGAGATGTTGGCTATGATGTTATTGACAGTGATGGAGAAGTTAAGAAAAGCCAAGGATTAAGAGGAAAGATTATGAGCTTATATGAACATGTTAATATTGAAAATCTATGTTCAGGCCACTGGAAATTCACTTCAGGTCAAGAGAGTGATTAGGAATACATGTATAGATTTGAGGTGACTGAAATATATTTTTATGAGCAGAAAAGTTATTCTGGAGGCATAGAACTTTTAAAAGTGAGTCTGCAGGAGTTGCAAAGTACAGATACCAAAGCAAAATTTGTTAGAAA